TGCTATTATATATTTAATTTCTAAGAGCTCTTTTTTGTCCTATAAGAAAACCAAACTCACTGCCATCAAGTCAGATCCAATTCATAGCAACCCCTCCTTGGGTTTCCAAGGTGGTATCTCTACGTAAGTAGATTGCCCAACCTTCCTTCCAAGGAGTGGCCAGTGGGTTTGAACCACTAGCCTTCTGGTTAGCAGTCAAGTGCCTTAGGCACTACACTACCAGAGCTCCTTTTGTCCTATAGCTTGTTTTTTTTTTTAATATAATAGTATCGAATTTTTGTTTATGGATTCAATATCTCCTCTTATCTCTCTAAGGATATTAATGATGATAAGCTTTTTCCAATTTTTTATCATTCTGCGGATTTGTTTCCTTTAAAGTTGTTTTTGTTTGCTTGTTTGTTTTGATTTATCTTTCATGTTATAGGTTTTCCTCAAATATTTTGTTATCATTAGCTATCTGCACATATTTAAAAGTTGGATATTAAGAAACTGAGTGAAAACTCTATGCTGGGATTTGTTGATGGAGCTCTTCACTTGTAGAGTGATCTTGCTGAGCTATTCTGTTGGGGAATCCTTGATGTCAGTCCTTTTGGCCTCTTGAACCATTCATATTCCAGAGAAGATTCTTACAGCCTTCTGTCTGAAGGGCATCAATTTGGCTTCATTTACTTCTTCTGTTTTCAACTCTGCTTGATGTCCTCCCCACTTAGAAATCTCTTTTTACCTTCTGTACAAATCAATATCTAGTTTTATGCTGGGTGATCAAATTGCTTCTGATAGAGACTTTCAATCACTTCTGCTGTTTTCAATCCCACCTTAACAGAACAACTCAGTATCACCAATTTCTGGCTTTTGCCAGGTTCTACTGCCCATAGCAGGTTGATGCTTGACATTCCTAAACTGCTGACTCAAAATTCAACTTTTTTTTCTTGTAAGTCAGTTACCACCTATCTTTCTGCTACTAACTTCCAACTTTTTGTTGCTGTCATCCCTTTTCCTATTATTTTTATCTTCATAATATGCCTTTCTTAAGAAAAAAAAAGTACTTTTACTGTTTCAGTAGGGTTTCTGAGCAGAGAGGAGATAAATATGAGTTCAAGCCATCTTTTTAACCAAAAGTTTCTCCCATTATTATTATGGGAATAACAGGTATATCTGATAGTGCTTTAAGGAGTGAGTAGAGATCAGCTTTCCCAGGAAATACTGGAGAAGAACTGGTTTTTTGGCATGGACTTATGACTAGTGCAGTTAGTTAGCAGGTTCTATGATCCTATATTTACTATACCTCTTTTATATTATTCTTGTTTTATGCAGATAAAAGGGTGAGGGACATATTGGTCCATGTTTGTCAGTGGGGCAACCTGAATGGCAGGCTCTCCCTAGGAGGGAAACTTTAGAGTGCTGTGAATTCTACCCTGGGTTTTGTATTGATCCCTACTTTGGTGTGTGTGTGTATGTGTGTGTGCGTGCACTGTCCACCTCGGTGCAACCACTGTTTATCTTTATCTTTTCCATTTCCAATCCCCAAACCTGTCTTATAGGATGATGAAAGCCTGAAGCATCTCACACATGAGGAAAAGGATGTCATCCTGTTTTTCGAAGAAACTATTGATTCCCTGGAAGAGGACTTTGAGGAACAAGTGTTGCGTGATAGTGGTATACACAGCCACTCTCTGCGATCTCTGGAAGAGAGCATGTCCAGTCATTCTGAGCCAGAAGATGTCATCGATTTAGTACAGCCAGTACCTGCAGCTGGGGAACCTGAGTGCCCTCCAGATACGACTCAGGCAGCAGGTGAGGAGTGAAGGATGAGTCCCCAGACCTGAAACTTGGTCTGTTATTGTGATTCAAACAAAGAGACCCTTCTTTTTGTTGTATTCTCCTGTCTTTGCCAGTATAGAAGCCGTTGAAGCTTGACAGATTTTTGTAGGTAGAAGCATCCTCTTGGTGATTTCATTGTCCAACCAAGTAGAAGCTTTTACATATAGTACATTAGGAAGAAATGAAAGGAAATTCCAAAAGGGCTTGAGTAAAGAATGAGACTACCAGGCATACAAACAGATTATATATTTTAAAAAAATAAAAATTAAAAAGAAAGAAACAAAAAACAGAAACAGCTTTCAGATAACAATTCTATCCTACAAAGAAAATTTTAATGCTTGGGGTTTAACCTAAATTTCTGTGGAAGATTATACCCCCATTTCTGTAGCATGACTTTCCAAGATGGGAATAAATGAACAGAAGAGTCAGCTGACTTGGGAAAGTAGAAAAAGATCAGAAGAAAAATTTGTCTCAGCATGTCTTTTGTACATTTTGCCAACTCATTGTGGCATCAAAGGATAGCTATGCTTTTGCCCATTTAGTCCTGTGACAGAGCTAGAAGGAAGTGATCAAACAGAAAAGTTTCTTCCAACTTTTTTCCTGACTGGAAAAGGATGGTTGAAAATAAATATGGGCAAGGGAATCAGGATTGGAAAGGATAAGGAAAAAAGGGGTGGGAAAATAGTAACTACAAAATACTACTATTTGTAATGAACCTTTAGAAACATACATACGTATATACTTTGTAAGAACAGTTGTGTGCTACTCAGAATTTCACATACTGTGAACATGTATTCCAAACACGAAGCTTGGTTTGCAGCCATCTTTTCAAAGAAGAGCCCTAATATGGATTCTAATTTTCATTACATTTCTGCTTTGCAGTATATAGGTCCTAAAATTAATTTGTACCAACTTACCCTTTAAAAATGTCAGATCACAATCAAGCCAAGGAAAACTCTTTTTGAAAATAAGCCACCCCACCCATTAATTCTCTAACATGGTATTTTCATAACATATTTTTAAGTGTCTACTTTCTGGCAGGCATTCGAGATTCTGAAGATACAAAGATAAGTAAGACGCAGCATACAGTTTTGAAGTGGGAGCCAGGTGTGCAAATATAAGTACAGAAAGGCATTAGGTGATCTGTGATAGATTCATATTAAGGCTGTAGTAAAGGCTCAAAGGCAGGCATATTAAATTCTACCTGGGGCTGTCAGAAATATTTCTGTTTCGTAGAGGAAGGTGCCACATCTAAATATCCTTCATCTAGACAGACCTGAAGGAGCTCTGGTGGCATAGTGCCTAAGGCATTTGACTACTAACCAGAAGGCTGGCAGTTCAAACCCACCAGCCACTCCTCAGAAGGAAGACTGGGCAATATACTTCTGTAGTAATACCACCTCGGAAAGCTGCCTTGGAAACCCAAGGAGGGGTTGCTCTGAATCAGCTCTGACTTGAAGGCAGTGAGTTTTTTTGTTTTGTTTTGTTTTTTCCCCTAGAGAGACCCAATGGAGTTGTTGATGTGTGCCACACAACTTTCCAGCCTTGGTGTTTTGGTTACTTCGTCCTGGTCTAACAGAAAAATATACCACAAATGGGATAGTTTTAACAAACAAGAGTTTATTTTCTTACAGTTTTGGAGGCTAGAAGGCTGAGTTCAAAGTACCAGGCCCTAGGGCCTGGGTGAAAGTCCCTCGACCTTGGGCTTCAGCTCTGCCTCTTGGGCCTGGCCCACTGAAGCTGGAGGTTTCTTCACTCAGGCAACTGCTGGCTGCTGAGGCTGCCAAGCCCAAGGTTGACAAGCAAAAAGCACAGTCCTGATATTACCAAACCACACAGCAGGCCATTGACTGAAGTTGCTAAAGGAGCAAGGAGGCCACATCTTCTGACCTCCTCTACCCACACAAGACGAAGACAGAATCACTAACAGAAGCCCAAGGCCCATTACTGTGAGGCCAGACATGCTGCTGCCTCTCTTCAGCCCTTTCACCAACCCTGACACCAACCGTTCCTCCTGCACCACTCACCACCTTTCTGCTGGGTTCAATAATTCACTGCAGTGGCCACACAGAACTCACAGATTATGGGGTTTATCAGGGAAGTACCAGGCTACAATTCAAGTTCAAGGAACAATGTTCAGTCTCTCTTCCAGCCCGCTGTCTCTCACCCAACAGTCTCTCTCAGTTTCTCCCAGCAATGCATGTCTCTCGGTGTCTCTTTCTCAGCAATGTGTGTCTCTCGGTTTCTTTCTTAGCAGTGGCATGTCTCTCGGTGTCTCTTTCTCAGCCTCAGCAACACATCTTCCTCAGTCAGAGGTCAGAGAGAGACTTCTGCTTCTAGGAGGCCTCCGGCAGAGTGGCCAAACTAACCAATCATAACATCAGAATTCTAAGCACCTGAGAGACAGCGAACTTCCCAGAACATTACTTTGTGCTGCTCACAACAGAAATACCTCAGTGGATGATATTTATAATCAAGAGCTCCTCAGTTGCTCACAGCAAATTCCACCATGGAGTTTATAAAGACTTATGGCTAGAAAAGCCATACCAGGTAATTCACTACACCATAGAAGTCCATTAAGAGTCCCAAGATCAGCAGAGCATGGCAGGCTGATCAAGACTTGGCTACATGCAGGGTCCAAGTGTGCCAAAAAGCTGTAGACCATTCCCAAAACTTCTTATTTATGGGAAGCAGACCACATCCCTAAAGCAGCTACTCAGCTGCTCACATCAGATTCTACCATGGAGCAGTCTCATCTTGGGGAATAACTACCACCAGCTCCCCAGCCATTCAAAAGCAGGCGCAGCCAAGTTGACACATAACCTTAACTCCCACACTCAGTTTCCCCCTTTGAAAGTCCCCTGGTGAAATAAGTTGCTATTGGCCACCTATTACACACCTCAGGATGGTGGGTCCTTAGAAGCCTGCTTTTACAATCTGCTTCCTAGGTACTAACCATTTCTGACTTGCAAGTCTTTCACAATCACTAATTTGTTCTCCCTCACACTGTTGTTATGAGAACAATGTACTACATTCTCTGTCACTATTCCAGGGAACAGGGATAGAAAGGGAGTTTAGATTATAGGAGGTGCTGTTGAAGTTAGTATTACGTTCCTTTGAGACCCTTTTAAATTCAGTGAGATGGATGTATATAATGTGTTTACTTTTACATAAAACAACAACAACAACAGATAAAAAAAAACACTGCCATGAAGTCGATTCTAACTCATAGTGACCCCCACTGGCTTTCCAAAGTGGTAAATCTTTACAGAAGTAGATTGCCTCATCTTCCTTCTGCAGAGCAGCTGGTGAGTTTGAACTGACAACTTTCTGGTTAGTAGTCACATACCTTAGGCACTGTGCCACCAGACCTCCTGCTGTTACATAAGGTGGTGGCTTATAAGGATTCTCTCTCACTTTTCAGAGGTTGAACCTGTTGGAAGAGAAGAAATTCCTGTCCTGGAATACAAGAGGCAAAATGCTGAGAATTCTCCAGCACCAGGTTCCACAGTTCCAGAGACCCTTCCTCTGACAAATTTCCCACCTATCATCTCAACTCCAGCCCACCCCAGGAAAGAGCTGCTGTCTCCTCCTCCAACAGAGCACCCAAAACTACCCCGCTCAGTTCCTACTCCACTTGTTATTGCTCAGAAAATTTCTGAGAAGTTAGCAGGAAATGAAGCCCTGTCCCCCACATCTCCCTCGAAGGCAGGCAGGCCTGGAGAATGGAGGACACTGACTTCTTTAGCCCCTCAAAAAGGAGACCACTTCTTGTGGCACAGGCACATGACACAGCCTGCACCCAAGATTCACCGCTTCCCCAGCAATATTAGTGTGACCAACAGTTCAGGAAAGGAATTCAATAAGACCATCTCAAAGGCTGCTGTCAATGTACAAGAACGTAAAGCCCAGGTCTTAGCCAACATAAATGGTGTTTCTTTCCTCACCATGGAAGATCGGTCACAAAAGAATGACCTCACTGAGCAGAGGAGAAGTTTCTGTCCTGAGCAAGTGACATGCGACCAAAGCAAGCCAGGCCTTGTCAAGGAAGCTATATGCCCAGAGACAGGAGGGCAGCCCAGTAGTCAGCAATCCAAAGGCGTGCAGACAGAACAGTCCCCAGCATTGGCCAATGGCTTCCAAAGCATCCATGATGTGCTAAAACGTGAGCCTAGTACCTTTGTCTCTACTGGAAAGACTATCACCTTCCGTCCAGACCCAGCTCTTACCAATAAACTTGCACGCCAGAATGCCATCAAGAGCTTTTATGAACACCAGCAGCCAGACTATGGCCAGGATGTTCGGAAGCGGTCAGGTTCTCTCCCTAGAGCTGTTGGATTCAGACCCCAGGGAATCACTGTTCAGTTCTCTGGGCGAGGCTCTACAGAAGAAGCTCGTCGTGAGGCCCTGAGGAAGCTTGGCCTCCTGAAGGAAAATCTGTGATGGAGAATATAGAAGGGAAGCTGGAAAAGGCATGACTGTTGACCACTTTTGGCAGAATGGCTAAAATTCACCTTTTTTTCCCCTCCCATCCTAAGAAGAGGGGTAAAATGAAAGATTAACACAGGGATTGTCTCACCCAGCAAATCCAAGAGCTGTTTGGCCTAAAATGAACATACATATGTAAAGAACAGTAACAACAGTCCTAACTACTGCGCCATGTTGAGGATTAGAGATTACAGGTGCCAGAACTCAGTAGTCTGGGCTAAGGGAATAAAGAATAGTAACTACTACCTTCCTTCCATCCCACATCCGAACAGGGAGCCCCATACTATAAGCTATATCTTCCTTTATCCAAGAACTTAGAGAATAACCTTTAAAACTTATAGGCATCTATGATCTTTAAATACCATATGGTTTTCGGATTTGGGAAGAGGGCATCTGAGGGAATTCTATCTAATCTAGCCTTTCATTCCAAGTACAAAAATGAAAGCCAGTTTAGATATCTTACACTCAGTTCTCTAAAAAGGGATTTTTCCCTGCTTTTCTAAGAAAATAAAAAGAAATTCTTATTCATTTTTTTGTAGTGTCTTAATATAAGTTTTTGAAGGGTAAAGGATGGTACTTTAGCCCTAAATATGTTTTGCTTTGTTGCTAGTTCATTGAAAATTGAAATGAAACCTTCAGAGCATGATTTACTATAATTTTGCGTGAAATAGAAAGGTTGAATTTGGTAAACGTGGTAATTTTGAAAAAGCAAGACTCAGATTACAAGGTCTGCAGGACAGAGAGATATGTGTATGAGTGTGTGTTGTGTATATATGTATGTGCATATTATATGTTTATAGATGTGTAATGCAGTAACATACACATGTTTAAGTATTGTGTGTGTATGTGTATATACACATTCATTTACACACACACATATATATAGACTTCTTAAACCCCTACAGGATGTAAGTGCTTCCTATTCTCTACATAGACACAGACAATTCAGCATTGTGATGGATCACACAAGAAATTGTTAATTCCAAATATAGAAGTCTTTAAGGACACAACTCTATGCTATTTCAGTGAACCAAAAATGCCTTTTCCTCAATAATGTGTTCTTCTGTTCACAATTAAAATAATATTCCCTGCTTCCAAATAAGCAAGATAGTTCCTGTTTCAAGTGAACTACATTTTTAAAGGTTAATCTCTTCTGATTCACCACCTAATTTTAGTTTTGCATGTTCCAAGGAAGTTAGTAACTGGAAGGAAACAAAAGCTCCTTAAAGATCCCTTCCTGATCAATTGTGTTCCATGAGCCAGATCTCAGAATTAATTTAAAAGGGAAAAAAACACTGAACTAGGTTACACAGCATGAAGAAAACTGGCTTTCTCCCAGACTGTGTCTTACATGCTGAGTTGTACCCACAAGCATTATTATCGAAACTATTTAAGGCTGGAGTCTTAAACTTCTAAAAATAGATTGGGAAGGACTACACTTAGAAGTCACGCCCTTTTGTTATTATGTCTTAGCCATCACCATAACAGAATCTGTTTTTTCTGTTGAATATGACTTCAATTCAAACATTTTAATGTGCCGTGAAGGGTATTTTTCACAGTATTCAACTTGCCTTGTAAGTTGCATAAAATAATCGTGATTTTCCCCCCTTAAACCTATAGTATTTAGTGTCTCTTGTCCTCATGAAATACTCTCATAGATTCTTAATGGTCTTATTTGAAATAAGTGCTTTAATTTTACAGCTTTTAAAGGTAGTTACTTCTGTTTGTGTTGGATTTCTTTAGAGGATTTATGAGGGCTGTATTTCCTTTTTCCAAAGTGAGATGCCACACACAGTGTTTAATAAGAGAGGGTCTTGATATGGCCAACATTTTCAATATCCTTTACATGAGGATTATTTCTTTTATCTTATTCTATGATTTCATTGTGAGTAGTGTGAACTTGATTATATATTAGTATATTTTTTCTCATAATGACATTTTTTGAAAGATAAATTTAGAGTTTTATCTTAAGTATAAGCAACTTTAGGAGCTCTAGTAGCATAGTGCCTAAGGCACTTGACTGCTCACCAGAAGGCTGGGGTTTCAAACCCACCAGCCACTTCTTGGAAGGAAGGTTGGACAATCTACTTCCGTAGTGATACTGCCTTGGAAATCCAAGGAGGGATTGCTATGAGTCAGGTCCAACTCGACGGCACAAAACAACAACAACACAAGCAGCTTTGTTTTTAATTATATATTCTCAATTATTTTAAATGGTTATATCCTTTCCTTCTATTTATTTATAATTTCTACTATTTATTCATAATTATACTGATTCTTACTCTGGTCATTTCTTGTGCCCCAAATTCTAGTAATTAAAGCCATGTGTTCTATATGAAGTTCAAATTACAGTCGCTACTGAATTAGCTTCTATGTGTATGTATTGTGTTAACAGAAAACTAGTTTGCTGAGGGACGTTAGGTTCCTTGCCATAACTATGTGATAATGACATTCTCAAAGGGTCACACTAATTTTAAGGACCATATTTCAAAACAAAATTGTAAGGAAAAGGAAAGCTGAATCTTTAGTGACCACGTGATTTTAGTTTTATCTTTGCAAGCCACGCTTGTAAATCAGTCGCCATTGTTTTGAAACTCTTTTGCTACTGAAAATCAGAAAAAAATTCTCCTTTGCTTTGAAGAAGGTGTGCACAGAGTTTCATCTGTAAATAGTAATACTTTGCAGTTACCAGGTAACAGTATTTGTTCCAGTTCTCTTTTCCTCCTTATCCCTTTGATATTTGGTTCCCAATGTGCATACTTAACAAAATTGGTAGAAATTTTGACCTTTGCCTCCACCACCCACCCACCCCCAGCTCATATTCTCTTACAGGGCTTGCAAGGCCCAGATGGGCTATTTATTCACTTGGAGGTCTCCTAGTCTAGTCAAGGTGCACAAAGCAGGCTCTGTCTTTCTCCTTTTTCCTCTTTTGACGGCTCCAATTGACTTTTGATATATAGGATTCTTCATTCAAAGTCCCAACCCAGCGTAGGGCTTTCATGAAGGCCTTAGTGGAGTTGATAAATGAGGTCTTATGGATCCCTTAAGACTGACTTTTTTACTTTAAAAAAATTCAGAAATATAGTCTCTCTATTAAATCCCCGCAGCTCCTGCTGTGAGGACCATGACCTTTCAGAGGTGTTTTTTTTGTTTTTTTTTTTTAACAAGTAATCCAAGAAATCAGTTATTTAATGTTTACTAAGCAGGAATGAAGAGAGCGAAATTAGATATATATGAAAACAATTCACTCTTATCAAAAAGCTTGTACCTGCTGTGCTGGTGTTTTCCTAATGGAGCTCTACATAGTGGAGGCATTATTTCCTTTTGAGTGTATTTTATCTCTGTGACATGGCAAGTTTAATAAACTTTTTTCCTCCTAAACTGTTCCCTTGGGTTCTTAAGCTTTTGTCATCAAATAACCATGTTCTCTGAATGAGTAATGGTCCCCTTGTTGTGTTTTTCTTCTTGTCCTCTGCCTGTGATCCCCAGGGCTGCCTGATGGAAAAAGGAAGGGGAGGAGTGATCAGGGGAATACTCACCTGTGAAGGGTTCATGTTTTCATTGAAATGACAAGTTGCCGAACAGGTTTTGTGTCTTCTGTTCACAACAAGGCTCCCCCCTCCTCCCTCCGCCCGCTTTAAAGTATGGGGAACAAGTTCCCATATCCTTTTCTAATCTACTAGTTGGACAAGCCCTGCTTTCAAGTATCTGAGGAAACAAGAAGATAGAGCTGTAAGCTGCCATGTCCTGGGAAAATTGGAACTCTTTGTCATTGAACTTGAAGTAGAGGACTGCCTTCACACGGATACTGAGAAAGCCCATTCAACCTGCTGCTGGCTTTCTACTTAACCACAAGTCCTCTCCAGCTCCTGCCTTTTCCTCACGCACCAGAATCACTCCCTTTCTCTAAGAGTGAAAGCACTGTTGGGAGGGAAGATAACAAAATCCAATTCTCTGAATGAGAAAAGGCTGTGCAGCAGGATGATGACACCCCACACTTCTTCAGCATAAAAACAGTCAGTCTTTGTTCCTAACACTTGAAGTCCTTTTAAAAGGTCTCTATTAAAAAAAAAAAAAAAGAAGCTCTGATGGCTTAGTGCCTAAGACATTTGACTGCTAACCAGAAGGTTGGTGGTTCAAACCCACAGCCCCTCCATGGAAGGAAGACTAGGAAATCTATTTCTGTAAAGATTTATTGCCTCAGAGTCACTATGAGTCAGAATCAACTCAATGGCAGTGAGTTTGGTTTGGTTTTGCTTTTATTCAAAAAGAGGAGTCTTGGTGGCACAGTGGTTAAGCGCTCAGCTGTTAACCAAAAAGTCAGTGGTTTGAACCCACCAGCAGCTCCTTGATAGAAAGATGTGGCAGTCTGCTTCTATAAAAGATCTGCATCCTTGGAAAGCCTCTGAGGAAGTTCTACCCTGTCCTATAGGGTCGCTATGATTCAGAATCTACTCGACAGCAATAGGTTTGTTAGTTTGTTTTTTAATTAAAAAAACCTAACAAAACTCTGCACACATCTATACAAACCAAACTCACTGCCAATCACTTCAGGCACAAGCAGACTTCACTCTTCTTTCTGGTTATTATTCTTTTAGGGGCCACTGAGCTCTGGTGGTATAGTGGATAAGGCATTTGGCTGCTAACCAGAAGGTTAAGTTCAAACCCACCAGCCACTCTGTGGAAAAACAATGGGGCTATCTACTTCTGTAAAGATTTACAGCCTCAGAAACCCAGTGAGGGTTGCTATGAGTTGGAATCAACTTGATGACAGTGAGTTTGGTTTATTTTTTCTTTTTCTTTTTTTGAGGGGCCACTGAAAAACCCCAGGAGTCAAAGTAGAATTTGCCCCACACAGTATAGTCCAATATGGTTCTCACCATGATTCAAACTTCTGTCCAAGTCAACTTGGCTCTATGAAGGTTTACTTCAGGCTTGCTTATCACTTAAACTGT